TCTGACCTTTACAAAACTCGCGGTGGCCTCCCGCTGAACCGAGTCAATGCTGCTTATCCACACAGACAAGTCTGAGACCTGTCTGGTATCAATATACCGACCCCGGAGGGATGGATGGCTTGGTGAGCCATGAGCGCGAGACTGAATCAGTGACCTCGTGTACGACGCAGGGCACCTCTAACCACTGCGCCACATGCGCTCCCATATAAGGGATATTGGCCAATGTTACTCAAAGATGTACTTCAACTCCCACCTTTCTGTACGATTTTGATCATTATGTTGTATATAGAAATGCCTTAATTCTCCCACAAACTTGAGAATTGGTACCGTATAGTGGATGTGGAGAGCATCTGAGTATCTTCACATGTATGAGTGATATATCAAGCATGACTGAACCACGGAATACCATCTCCTCTCTAGTGAATGCTCACGTTTTTCCGCGCGCTTATGCTTACCTCGCTTGGTTGAAATTTTGTAAACGTAACCTTCCCTATCAGAAAGTTTTGCTGTAGATTGATATGAAGTGCTGTTAGAATTAGGTGCAACACACTTGACATGGTCATCAATTGATAATAAATGCTACCTACGAACAGTCCTTCTACGAGGATTTTTATCGATGGAAGATAAAGTGTCACATAGTTTTGAAAAACCGACTATTTCTTAATTTTGGCATTACCAGGCGATGATAATTTCCCTGATCAACAAGCAGTTACCTTGAGGTTGTTATAGAACTTTATCCGCGTAATATTTCAGCTGTGGAGAATCTATTCAAATCTCGGCGTTTAAGAAAATGATGCGTTGAAGTGTTAACCGATTAAAGTGCACCGTGTTATCAGCATTTCGCTGGCGTAGGAGGGATAGTAGGGCTTGGTGAGCCTTGAGCGCCTGTTGGTATTATCAACAATCGATTGGTCGACCATCTGTGTTGCACAACATTTCTAACTACTGGGCCACACGCACTGCTAATATCATCATATACCAAGTATTTCCGCTCTGAGAAATGATCGGCCGGGCACCATACCAATGGAAACTGTGCGCGCGTTATATGAGGACGGACTGTCCAATAATCTATGTGATCAGACTCGAAGATTTCAGGACACCGGTAATCATGGAACGTCTCGCTCCTGGATCAGAAACGGTCATGGATATATGTCATAACCACCTCGAGAAGTTCGCATCATATGGATATCGTACTCTTTGCTTCGCTATGCGTAAGATTGAAGAGGTGTTTCTCAAAACCGTATCAGTAGTAGATGATTTCCCAAAAGTTCTACTCTAATTTTTGTTTTCATGCATAGGATGAGTAATAAACGTTGGTCGAAGCGACTACCGAGCTGCAGGTGTTCTTATCGAAGGTCGTCAAAAAGCACTTGCTGATGTGGCTGAGAAAATAGAGGTTAATTTGGAACTCGTTGGTGCAACCGCTATCGAAGACAAGCTACAAGAGGTAATTTTTTTCAGATATAGTAATATCAGTTTAGTTCATGATGTCTCTGGTTTAGTTTGTCCCGGAAACGGTGCAGACATTGATGGCTGCGGATATTCGAGTGTGGATGTTGACGGGTGATAAGAGGGAGACCGCTATCAATATAGGCATGTTTTCTTTCTTAACGGACTCTTGTTTCTAGTTTTCGTTCAGCCCCCTTTGTTTTTTTTTCTTGTGTATTCCATAATGTGATCCGTGACTTTTCGGGTTACTTATCATTAGTTCTGCTTGTAGGCTATCTAGCCCATCCACTGACTATCGTAGAATTTCTGGACTTGGTGCTACTAGTGTAATTTTAGCTCATTCCTGTGCACTGTGTAGTGAAAACACGGAATTACTGACTGTGGACAAAGAAACTTATGACGAGACCTGTTCAAAACTGATACAATTAGTCAATCGTTCAAGAGAGTTGGTTGAAGAGAACAGGTGAGTTTGCTAACTATTTTTGAAACATTTGAAAGTAGCTTTTTTTGGGACACTACTCTTTGTTTGAAGGGAGTTTGCAATGGTGATTGATGGAAAATCTCTCACTCATGCTTTGGCGGGTAAATGTCGCGAGCACTTTGGTAAACTTGCGCTCGTATCTCGATCTGTTGTTTGCTGCCGAATGAGCCCAATGCAGAAGGCTGAGGTGGGGTTATTTTTATCTCTGGAGAGCTTTTAGCACGTTTTAAGTGGTTGTTTATATACACAGTTCGTACTCTCGTGCTCGTAAGAAATGAGACCGTAACAGAAATTACCATCTCGTCAACGTCATCTTCTTTGTTTAATTCATATGTGAATACAAAGCATAAGTTTCTCGGCGCTATTCAATCGCTATTCACCATACAATCGATCTCGTTAAGAATCGTTTAAGATTATCAAATACATATCTGGCTTTTACAATGATCCGCGGTGACCTATGACCTGGCGATGTATCAACTAAGTGCTGCTATCCTTCTAAACAAGTTTGGTGTAAATTCATCAACTCCGAAGGGATCGAAAACCTGATGAGCTGAGTTTTGGGGCGCAGGATCGATCTATCGACCATGTGTGTGTTGCGAGGCGCCTCTAATTTGCAACCATATAAGTGAAGCATGACTGCTTTTTCGGTTATGTCTTTATTCACATGTGCTTTTTCTGTGGGATCCTCTATTGATAAAGCGATTCCTCTTCTACAGCAGATGTTGCATCCGGCGTGGCCTGGCAAAAGCTACCCATTCACATTATCTTGCTCATAATATGTTTGTGGGATGTTTCTTCGTCCCTATGATTATTGTAACGATTTTCCTCCTAATCGTACGAATTCAGTTATACGGAGGATGCTGTGAATAAGGAGAATACTAAATTGTTGCTGCTATATTCAGAAAAGGATCAAGAATAAAGCATTCGGCCTTGATCACTCTCTGAGGGATGCGCCATGCATTCATTCTACTTCATCAAGCATCGTCGAACGTTTTTGAATGCTCACCTCACCTTTACAATGACTCTCAGTGGTCTAAGCAATGTACCGAGTCAGTGCTGCTGTTCTCTCAAGCAACCTTCGTACCTATCCGCCGAGTTGGGAGATTTGAGAGGTTTGGTGGTCCTTGGGTGCGGGGTCGAACCATCGACCACTTACGTATATCAGGACACATTCAACCATTGCGCTGCATGCTCCTCTCTTCTACATTTACACGCTGTTGTTTCTCACCTATAAAGAATTCCCAGCCACAGTGACCTACTGTGATTTTTTTTTTGAAACTCTTTCCTGTATCTTCGAAATCCTCGCAGTATTTCTTCTAACTACCACTTTTTGTTAATTTCAAGGTTGTCGAGATAATTCAAAGTCTTGGGAACCATGTTGTGATGGCTGTAGGTGATGGTGCCAACGATGTAGCCATGATTCAGGTATAGTAAGTAATCTCTGTTCATGATTTCCTCTCAATTATACGTCTCTTAGGCAGCAAATGTTGGCGTAGGAATATCAGGCGAAGAAGGTCTTCAAGCTGCATCAGCATCAGATTACGCTATTCCGAGGTTTCACTTCTTGAGAAGGCTTCTTCTCGTAAGTGCTTTTTGTGTGCGATTAGATGAATTCGGATGGTTAAAAAGTCTTGTATTTGAGGTTCACGGTGCTTTGAATCACGATCGGTCTGGTGAAAGTGATTTTGTATAGTTTTTTACACAAAATATTTGCCTCTACATAATCGAATTATGGTGAGTTGTGATATCCTAATCAAGTGCATTCTTGTTGTTTGGTTCATTCATGGTTGTTTAACACATTCACGACCGTGTGCATTGATTTCAATGCATAGATATAGGGGGGGGCGGGAAGACAGTTTTGGCGAGTAATTTTTTCTCAACATGTCTTTACGGTGTTTCGTCTCATGCTCCCAACCGTATCCAGTAATATCTGTTATATCAGATCTGTAGCTTCAGATGTACCTGGAAAACTATTCTTGACAAAAGACGATAATAAAAGTTCACATCGTTACTAAGAAGAGATCCTCATTGAATTCTGTTTACTTCACGAATAGAGTAGCACAGATTGTTTTGATGAGGAGAGTACTACTGTCTCTTTCTTGTTTCTTTATTCGTGCTCAATTTTATACATAAGGAAGATCCATAGATTGAGAGCGGCCTGTGCTGGAAAATAGTACTTGATTGTAATCCTAGTAATTTCTAATAATTTATTAGTCCAATAATTTTCAGTTATTACTATTCTAATTATTAATTTCTTCTTATTTTTAATTCTTAGTAATCATAAAAATACATCTCTTCTGACGCTATGCCGCATAGCTTTGAAAAAGCTCCGAGTTGTGGCGAAAATTTCGATTGAAAGTAATTTTCCCATATGAATATAAACGATAATAGCGAGGTTGAAAACCGAAAATAGTAGATATTGTTACTTTTGTTGTGCTTCGATGTTCAATATAGAAAAATGCGTGTTTATCTATCTTTTTATGCAAAAATTAGATCGCTTTTATCAGCGGAATTTTAGAGTATGTGAGGCTATGACATTTGAATGTGTTGAATTTTCACAGAGTGCTCGTTTGTCATTCTTTCTACGATGTCTAGCCTCGTAAACCTAACAAATCCTCATTCTCTCAACTTTTCTTTCGTGTATCTGTTGGACGTTGCACTGGGAGAACCTACAGTGTTTGTGTCGTAGCTTTTTGGCATGTAGTTGACATCCTACCGTCATTGCGCTCTATAAATTGTTATTATGGAAACAATCTAAACCGATATGCCCCCTATATTGGTATTATTCAGTTTTGATTGGTTGATTCGTTTTGCTGCGGATCTGTTGTCTTGATATCTTGATCATTCCTAGTAATAACTATTATTTCCAATCTCTGAATCAGTAGTGGAGCGTTTTCTAGAACAATGCTGCTATAGAGTGAAGGTGTAGGCATTCTGTTTGTTGGGGTCGATTTGGAATTTCGTAGTCTGTAAAACTTAATGCTGTATTGCTTACCCGTCTAAACTAGTTGTAAGTTGGTGGCTGATAGCTATGATAGGGAATTTGAATAATGAGTGGTAGCGATACGATGCCTCGGTGGTGTAGTGGTAGCACGCGCCCTTGTTATGGGTGAAACGGGGGTTCAACTTTCGTCTGAGGTCGAATTTTTGCTCTATCAACTCAATTCGCTTAGGTATGTATGAAGCATCATAACACTGCGAAAGAGCAGTAGAAATATATGCAATTTTGAGTAATACATATTGCAATCTGTAATACTTTCTAAAAGACGAGTTTCATGTGAAGTAATTCCTCAGATTTGGCTGTCAAATAGTTCATATCTGCGAGGAGTGACCGACGCATTATTACTTCTAATACAGAATTGTTGTCACGGCTACCTATTTTATGGGATGACGGAATATAAAACAAAGAATAAATAAATAATAATATAAAGTGCTATTTTAAAGATATCTGGTCGGTTTTATGTGCAAGCGATCATCGCAGGGTAACAGGCCATAGCTGGAAGATATAAGAACCTTCTCATCATAATCATTTGATCAAACCAGTCAGACTCGTCAGACTTGAGCCAATCACTGAGCTAGCGTAAAAATGAAGGCTGAATTGTCAGTCTTCATTTTTAGGATAGCTCTGTGAATGGATCGCGTTTAACTGGGTTAATCAAGTCTGCCCTCTTTAATAGACCACTGACATGCGTGGCTCAAAAAAGATTACCAGGCATATAGAAATTTGACCTGTGGTCTTAAGAAAACACTCGAAACGAAAGATATGACATATTCTATATACTAGCCAAGAACAATCGAGTGTACAACGCTCTGTGTTCGGTGATATTCTCGCTGGACATAGAGTGTGAAACGTTCGTCGTGGCTAACTTTAGTGTGGGACTGGAGCACCCACACTTGATTGGCAAAAGACGAGAAAGAGTAATTGCCCGACTGACGAGATCGCAAGATCGAAACACGAGTATCGGGCTATATAAGTCAGCCCTCTCTAATAGAACTGACTTGCGTGGCTCAAAAAATGATTACCAGGCATATTCAGATTTGAGCTGTGGTTTTAAGAAAACACTCGAAACGAAAGAACCGAATTGTCAATCAGTAATAAGTAAAAGCGGTGCGCACTAGTTTCTTAAGATTATCGTTCTGTTGTCCGGCTCCCAAAATGTGAAGTGTCTTGGAAAAAGAACTTAGGAGCCTTGAAATATGGCTTTGAAGATATGTAGTTACTGTATTCAGGATCTGTACATTGATTATGTGGAACTGAATGGGTTGACTTTTTAGTGACAAACCAATCGCGGAATTGCGGGTCATCGATTGATATCGGTATCAGTAAAGTTAACAGTCTTTACGTTATGCGCAGCGAATTAATTATCCTGAGATCGTCGTTCAACTCGAGGGCTCAAACAATGGAAAGAGTGCCTAATATGTTCTCAGAGACTCTAAGCAATTGTTTTCAATTAGCCGGTTTAGGGAATCGTGTATATGTGAAATAACACATATTGCCCAGTAATGAGCATTTGCAAACATATTAAATCTCCTACTAAGTTTACGAACTTGGTCGAGAAAATGAAAATTTTCTCACAAAAACAAATTTTCTAGAATCTGTTTTGTGGCAGAATTTTCTTGCACAAACGTTTGGTATATTTTTGCTCATACTTGTTCAACAATGGAGAATTTGATCTTGTTCAAGAGCCAGCGTCGTTCAAATCAGTGGTTGTTACCAGGTTGGCAAGGAATATTAACACCGAGATCAAATCGATTTGCGCCAAAGCAATTTTGATAATTTTCTGGGACCGAAGTGGGGCGAATCATTGGAACTTCTTGCAATCCGATCAGACCATCAACGTTGAGTGATATTGTTAGCAACTGGATAGTTACAATTAAGCAATTTCACGTCACAGTGTTACCAAGTCATTTTGCTTCAAGACAATGCAAATCCACACGTTGCCAAGCATAATAAGGAAGAGGTTGACCATTTTGGGCTGGGAGCACTTGGATCATCCGCCGTATTCGCCAGACGCCTGTCTCCGTCCGACTTCCATCTCTTCAGATCATTGGAGCACTGGTTGGACAAAAAGAATATGCGTCGAGGCATCAGTCATTTGCTTCGAGAATTGACTAGTTGGTTGCATCGAAAAATAATGAGTTTTTGTGAGCGCGGATTTCATTTGTTGCCCGAGCGTTGGCAGAATTGCATCCACGCAGACGGAGAATACTTCAATAATTTCATTTGATACTTTGAATTACTTGGATAAATGAGTTTTTGGATGAAGTTCGAAAACTTAGGTGGAGACCTAATAGAACGAAGTTGCGGATTTTTGACAGTTCAAAAAGATTGAGCCACCAACAAGATGTGAACCAATTTTTTGATGGTCAAATGGAGCAAAATACGTGGAAACCTACGCATATGCGCTGCGAAAAATTAGGCATTTTGATCGACAATTAAACGATGTTGATAATGTGTAAGATTGTCAAGAATTTTTTTGCATCTCTCTGAGTCACATTTCTGAGAAATTTTCCAATCAATGATCAAGTTGTATTACAGTTCATTGTTTACTCTATAGAGTGGGCTTAGTGCTGCGTAATTAGATTGATTTCTACTTTAGTTTTCCTGATAGTTATTTTTGAGCCGTGAATGTGGTCTTTTATGGGGAGTTACACAGTACAGTCGGATGGTGCCTTCTCGTTCGGTCAGTCCCTCTGGGATCTACCGTTTACATAAAGGAATCCGTTCTGTGATTTCATCACTTATCGACGCGTGGTAAAACGTTCGTCGTCGACTTCTCGTGTATTGCACTGTATAAGTGCCCATGACAAACCACATTCATGGCTCTAAAATAACTATCAGACATATTGAAATTCTAGCGTGATCTAAGAAACACCTTGAGACGGAAAGTAACATTTATTTCTTCTGTGTAATCTTTTGATTTCCAGGTTTGCAATTTTTCTCTGCTTGGTCAGGGCAAGCCATATTCGAGCGATGGACTATTGGATTGTTCAATGTCATATTTACTGCGTGGCCTCCAATAGTTTCTGGGATTGTTTGACAGACCTGTTGAACCCGTACAGATGATGCGATCTCCCGCTCTATATCACAGTTTCCAGAAACGCTCGTTCTCATTAATGGTATTTGAAATTTTTTCTTGTGCACTAGTTGGTATAGTGATTTTGACTAGTTCCATCAAAAACGCAATTCTACTTTGCAGCAATTTTTCCTCTGGATCGGCATGGCTATTCTTCATTCATTGTCTCTATTCTTTTTGTCCTACGGGTATTTGAGCACTGAGGTCGCTTGGAGTAATGGTCGGACGGGTGGTTGGCTGAACTTTGGCAATAGTGTCTATACGGGTCCGTTTGAAAAGTTGCAGTTGACTCATCGAATATTTTTTTTTTGCGTTCTTTAGTTTGTAGTTGCAACGGTGAGATCTAAAAGCGATGTTGGAATGTGATTCATGGACATGGCACTGTAGTAATCTCTTGTGTTGCGTCATTCTTTTTGTGGCTTCTGTTTTTGTGTATATATTCTGCGGTTAGTTTTTTTTTACCATGAATGATACACTTTTGCCAGGACTTATTTCATTGTACACTTTTCTAGGTATTTCCTCTAATATCTACTCGAATTGGTGATAGTATGGCTGGTATGGCTTGGATGTATGATGTCTTCTTATTTATTTTGGATGGCTTTGCTGTTCATACCTTTAGCGACCGTTGTTATGGGATCTCGTTATTAAGAGGTGAGATCAGCCAGCATGAGTTCATTCATATAATCTTTTTGTCTGTGATCGTTCCATTTGTCATTTGCTTCAGGCCATAGAGTCGAACTTGGGTTCTGAGCTTTTTCGTTTTTTCAATTAAAGAGAATTTCTGTACAATGAAGTATTGCGCTGCTTGTTGCACTCGAGGAACTATAAAAGGATAAAGGATAAAGCTCTCGGCGTTGATCAATCCCTGAGGGATGCGCCATGCATTCGACTTCAATTTTTAACTTCGTTTGAGGTGATTGAATGCACATCTGGCCTTTACAATAACTCGCGGTGGCCTTTGTTGAACCGAGTCAGTGCTTGCTTATCCTCCCAGACAAGTCTGAGACCAGTCTGGTACCAATTTACCGACCCCGGAGGGATGGATGGCTTGGTGAGCCATGAGCGCGAGATCGAACCATTGACCTCGTGTGCGACGCAGGGCACCTCTAACCACTGCGCCACATGCGCTCTCGAGGAACTATATTCCACCCTTATTCGTCCAGATAATCTGTTTTTAGTGATTGTTTGGTTAACGAGAGATAGCTGTGTTTAAAGAGAGTGTGCACTCCAAGAAATTGCCCTTAAAAAAGGCGTATAAACCTTTTCTCACTCTCATACACATCAGTTGTGTACAATTATAAGGAGCTGCCAAAAAATCAAAATCACTAGAATGAATTCATACAGGAAGTACTGCCCTTTCTATACGTAATGAAATCAACTAGCAAGTCCAGGCGATCCTGTGGATATGGATATCTTGAAGGATACCTGTTGGTTCAACAGCGAAGGGGTGAAGATGAAACATAAAAACTAGTCTGTAGAACAAAGGCCACAAAACAATGAGCAGATTAATTTTTTAGGGGGTAATTGGACCGATAGAGCGCATGTGGCGCAGTGGTTAGAGGTGCTCTGCATCGCACACGAGGTCAATGGTTCTATCTCGCGCTCGCGGCCCTCACCAAGCCATCCATCCCTCCGGGGTCCGGTTAAATTGGTACCAGACTGGTCTCAGACTTGTCTGGGAGGATAAGCAGCACTGACTCGATGCAGCGGGAGGCCACGCGCGAGTCATTGTAAAAGGCCAGATATGCATTCAGTCACCTCAAAACGAAGTTAGAAATTGATAGTCGAATGCATGGCGCATCACTCAGGGATTGATCAACGCCGAGAGCTTTATCCTTTTATCCTTTTTGATTGGACCCGATATGGCTTGATTCGTCTTTACTACAACAAGTACGACGAAAAATTAGGTGTGAAATAATTTTTTAGCAAGATTCGGGTTTCACGTGGTGCTTCAAATTTTACTTAGATGTCGCACCCTAAGTGCTAGTATAATTAGGTAAAACAAATGGCCTTGTTGGATGAATATAGCACATCAGTAGGTCTCGTAACATATTTTCTCCTCCT